GGTGATAATGATGATGAATAGCAGATTTTTTTTGGAGAGAAAGATTCTCTTAAATTCAGGGCCTTCTTTCTTTCAGGTAAATGCAGTATGTTTCAAGGCATGAACAGGTCAAGTTGAAAACTGAGGGAGCAAGAGTAAGCACCAGCACCTAAGATAGGGCTTGGAGATGGGGGTGTCACATTAAGCCAAAAGAAAGAAACCACAGTGTAGCTTATTGTGCTTTGAGAAGCCTGTAACCATGACAGTTAAATTACTAACTGGGACTGAACTGAATATAATATACAGCATATGATCACCTTTTAATTCCCCTTTGTTTGCTATGTTTCTAACTATGGGATTATAGGCATGGTTCTAGGGATTTTTTTTAAAAAATTATTTTACTGTCTTTGATTTTATTCTGCTCAGAGTGGGCAGGATATAAATAATGTAAAATAAATAAATAAATAAATAAATGTCAGCATCCGCTCCTTTTAACAGATTGCAATTTAAAGATGTGCTTTTCTGTAATGGGCTGCGTTGTTTTGTAATGTTTCCTACAATCATTAGATACAGAGCAACTGTTATATAAACTGTTACATAAAAATAACGCTGTGTCTTGTCATTCTGTCACCACTTACAATTAGATCGTTCTCATGCTTTCTTTCAATTCCTGAACTGAATTCATTTTTTAAAATTTCTGACGTGAAATAAAATATCTTTAAGATTTCTGAAAGTCTTACAATGATTTTAAGCCTAACTACTGGTAATGCATTCAGCACTGCTTGTTTGCGTGCCAGCAAGCACAAAACCAAAAGTCAGGCAAATACAAGTTTGAATGGCTCTATTCTCATCATGAACTCTCTGATAATTGCTGGGAATCGAGGATGTAGAAAGTTCAGAGAGCGTAATTTGCCTCGTAACTAGAGCCACGGTGGCCCCCTAGCAGGGAAAAGGATGGCCTATCTAGTCTGCCTCTTCAACTTTTGACTCAGAGGATTCAGACAAGACTATGGTACAAATATCAATTCGACTAATGTCCTCCAAAGACTTATACATTTATTTGTATTGCATTGCATTGCATTACATTATATTATATTATATTATAAAATTTATATGCTGCCCATCTCCCCCAGAGAGTGACTCTGGGCAGCTTACAATTAAAAACAAGACAATAAAAACAATAGAAATATAAATGCCCCCGATTAAATCACAAATCACAAATCTATAAAAGCAGTATATTACAATGAAGTTTACGTCCTGCTTTAAAGGTGCAAGAATATGAGCGGGCAGAGGGTTGCCTAAGGCCACCACAATCCAATATACATAATATACAATCCATAAGTCAACTGAGTTCAACTGAGATTACTTTTAAGCAGCATAAGGAGGATTGTCCTATGAAGATTATCAAGTGCTGTGAACACTGAGAACCAGTAAGTGTAACTGGCAGCTGTAGGAAAGATTTTTAAAATTAGTAGATAAAATGCTGATCATTAGTGGTGCTTAACTTGAAATATCTTTTCCTCATTGGAAATAAATTGTACCAGTTACACGCAAGCTATACTGAACCTACAGCTCAGTTACAATCCATGAAGTATAAGCAGGAGAAGAATGGTGGAGTTCTTCCTTGGCATAAGATTTAGATTCCTTTTAGAAGATAATGTGGTTAAATGCATGGTTAAATTCAAATACTTGTGCAGCAGTCTGGTTACTGGTAAAACTATATTGCATACAGTTATACAATTCTGGAAATCTGAATCTTCTTCTATTATGATGGTTAAGCTGAGTTTGCAATGTATCTTGCCTTCTATTTTATATTGATGAGACAGATGCATAGATGTACACCGAGGGAGATTGGGATGGGGGTAGGGGGTGGGGAAATGATGTAATGTGACATGTGACATGAATTCTGCCCTTTATGTACATGGAAGTAAATGTACATAAAGGCCAGAGTCGTTTGTGTGAGATGGGCGGTTATATAAATATAACAAATAAATAAATAAATAAACCATGAAAAGGTGGACTTTGCTTTATAATGTCAAACCACAACTTGTGTTATTCTAGCATCAATCATAGCTAGCTGTGGATAACTGTGGAGAGATGCCGTAATACTTAAAACTGAAGAGTGAAAGATTTTTGTTCTTTTGCTCAGGGCATTATACAAGGAGGCTGTCAACATCTATAAAGTTTTAATTTATACAGAGGAATAAATTAAGCACACTGATGAAAAATAACAAAAGTTAACATACTGTTTTTTTGCCCTCCTCTCTGTGGCACAACTCTCGGATTTTTTCCACAATGTCTTCCTTGGATGGTGCAGCCAGAGTGGAATTACTCCCAAGTAAAGTCACTATTTGGTCTTTGAATTCATTGTGCAACTTTTTTTCTGCCCTGGCCTGCTCTAGACTAGTTCTCAGTTCTGCTTCTTTTTCATTGCAGTGTATCCTGAGTTGGCCCACTTCTTCCCAAGCCGTTTGGCTGGCAGCCAGTCTGTCTTGGAGGTTTCTGATCTCCTCCTCAAGATTCTGCTTAGCTCCTGTAACGTTGTTTAGATCCTAAAATAAAAACAACAACAATATTTACACATCAGAGAAAAGAGGAAAACAATGATTATTTCAGAATATATTGTCAAGAGAATAGCAGTGACATCATGCATTATTACTAAATCTTGCTTACTAGAGATGCATGGATAGTTTCTGCTGAAAGAAAAAAACTATGAATCCAGAGAGTTGGAACAACCACATCATTAGGTGCAGATGGGTAAACCTTCAAAGTCCCACCGTTGCCCTTTGCCATGATTTTCTTTCAATATACTGTAGGCTGGACCCAAATAATCTGATAAGTACGAAAGACCTCTTTTATTTGTGAAAGGCCAGTGTGGATCTAACCCCATGAATGATTCAGCATCGGCAAAGGAACAGGATAGCACTGGCTTGGAGGAACTTTTGATTTATTTCTTGCCATACTGAGTAAAACCAATCCACCCAGATCACAAGGCTGAAAGCTTTGGTTCTTCACCCCTGACAAAGTCTTCACACCCCTTTCACTACCCAAAGGACATGAACCGGCACGTCATTTGCATAATGACACTGTTATGCAAACTGATGTGGATGGTGTAATTTGCTTCATTTATTATTATACAAATGACACAAATTACTGCAGATAATTTACTTAGATTTAACAAACATGCAGGATTATTAGACATCTTCCTCCGTTTGGATGACCTGCTGAATGGAGGTCTGACTGTGGTTCATTTGGATCCATTTAGATAGCTGCCCATCTTTCCATGGTGATTCTGGACAGCTAACACCAGTTAAAAACACTACCAACAACTAAAATGAAATACATAACTGGCAGCAACATAAAAAACCAATCAAACTACAACTCACATAACCATCTCATGGCCTCTGACTGACAGTCTGACCAGCAAGACTGGGAACACAGCCACATCTTCAAGGCCATGCGAAAGGCCAATAGGGTGGGGCCACTCTGACCTCGGGGGGGGGGATGATGTTCCATAGGGCAGACGCAAAGACAGAAAAGTCTCTCTTCCTGGATCCCTCCAGATGACACTTCTTAATTGAGAGGACCCATCACATCCCTCTTCTGCTGGATCTCATGGCATGGGTAGAAACAATTGGAGAGAAGCCTTTTTGCAAGTTTAATGGCTCTTGATATGTAAATTTGAATATAAACATTATATTCAAAAGGTTTAAAACAACTTGCTTACCTGGCAGTCCACAAACACTTTGGATTATATTGTTACACTTTGTTTAAAAGAAAAGATTGGGAACCACTGCTGTGGAACAGAAGCTACAGATTTTTGATTTTGATTGTTTGGTCTGTGCAGGCGTGTGTGCGTTTTAGGAGATGACTAGTTTCAAAAGCCAAAGTGACGTTCTAGCTGCGAAGAGTCAGGATTATTTCTGTAATTACTCCCAAGTTAAATGCAGATTTTTAAAAAAACCAAAACTGTTAAATACATAGTTGTCACCATTCAAGCCTGTTCTAATTGGGGCCATCACAGCCAACATGATCTGCTTTTCTGCATTTTGGCATCCTTCCATTTAATTTAATTTAATTTCAGTTCTTTGCTACTTTTCTTAAAAGGATTTGGTAGGAAGGGGAAAAAATTATTCTAGTGCCAAGAATTAAATTACAGTTCTTGTGGAAATTAAGGAAACATTTTCAGATTGCAGTATTATTCCAATAAATGTTTCCTCTCTCTGTCACAGGTGCAGCACAGCATTGCTTCTTTACTCGGTAATAGCTGATGCCGATCTAATTCTATATTATTAAGATTTTGAGATGTAAATAGAATTACAAGTCATCCATCCTGAAACAGAAAACTGGTCACAACAGTTTGAAAGACCACAGCAGTTAAGCATTCTTGTAGTGCCACCTTGAGTTTTAAGGTGCCATCTGGCTAGATGCCCTTTGCAGCCCACTGTAGATCCATTTATTCAGCTCCTCTGAGCCCAAAATACTCACTGCTCAGAGTATTGGTTAAGTAGAGATGGCTCCTGTTACTGATCACTTGCTTACAGAGGGGAAAGGAGCAGAGGAGAAACAGATCCAAACAATGCCAGGAACTGGCACTGGGACCCTATTTGGGGTGTGGGCCTCGGCAGTATGCAGCACAACCAATCAAACATCAGCTCTGTTTTGGTGTTTTGTTTCATTTTGCTTTCTTCCTTCATAGCCAACCTATTTAAAACCAGCTTAAGTGAGTCAATGGCTACATCTCCTCCAAATGGTAAGGTGTGATCACATTTTATGCCCCTGCACACAACATATTCATGCCCACTCACCTCACACTAGTGCAAGGTGTTGAATTAAGATGACGAAAGCTTGTCGTACCATCCAAACTTTGATTCCTGGTTGCTTCAACTTTTAGAAACCAACACCCAACAGGATATGCTTTTGCTTAAATACTGTGGCTTGTTTTGGAGTTCTTAGCTTTAGATGCTTGGAATTGCCAATTAGGAGTGAATGAGCTATGGACAATAGGTCAGAGTAAGGAAGGATCTGATTGAACCCAGACTCACTGGGGGAGCAAATGCAGCCACTGCCTTTGTAACCTGTTTCAAAAGTATGCAAATGAAGTGTGCACCAAGGAAAATAAAGTGGCTGCATAATTATCTTTTTAAGGAACTAAGTTGGGGGGCCAGAGGCTATACATGAGGCGGGGGGAGCAGGAAGAGAAGGATATTGGATGGATGATAATGCAAGGAAAGCAGGGCTACATTACTCACGTGGATAGGGCTGGGGTTTTCTATTCTTTGCTAGGTTTAGTGTACGTGTGTGTATGGGCTAAGCATGCTTAAGTGAGTAAACAACAGCTTTCATACGTTTTGCATCTCAGAATGGCATGAAAGTGCACTGCTAATTTTCAGCAATTACACCAAAATTCAGCAGCATGGGAGGGGGGGCTTTAAGGGCTGAAAATGGGGAGGTAGAGCACTAGTGGGAAGCTTGAGAGTCCTAATCTAAAGGAACAGTAAAGGATGTAAAGCGATAAGGTTGTATACCAGTAACAAAAAAAGTACAGTCCCTTGATTGGAACTTGACTCCTGGTGACTGCATGACTATGTATGTTTCTTGGCAAAAATGAAGTGGTGTGCTATTGCCTTATTCCAGGATTTATTTATTTATTTGTTTTAACTTCCCAGTTTAGTTTATTGCCCAGATAATACTTGGTGATCTCCCATTCAAGTCCTAAGTAGATTAATTATTTTGATATCAGGTAAGGTCAGCTAAATGCTGCCACCTACTAGGAGAGCTGGTAGCACATAGGGACAAAAATCAGAAAGGCAATTAAAAAGCAAGGACACTTTATCTCGGAAATTTGGAATAAAAAGGATCCTATTTCTCCTTGAACACTTGTTGCACTTACTTTTATTGATAGTTAGAAAGATGAGCAAGCTGAACATACTCTAATATCAATGCTAAAGTAGAAAGAGTTATGCAGATAAACTAGGCAACAGGGGTATATTTATATAGCATCTGCTATCTTATTACTGGAAAAAATGTTCTGTATTGATACCACACACAATACTGATATGATCAAAGAAGGAGACAATATGCAATTAATGAGTACCAAGGTGCCTATGAATCCAAATTAATTAATTAAAAACTAAGTTACTACAAAATGTGAAGGATCTTCAAACAATTGGCTGGATCTCAGGGTGGCTTTTGAGGAAGGGATGATAGTACTGTAAGTATACTGTTTATCTCGAGGGAAAGAAAAGCAGCTGTGCAAAGAGTAAAGAGAAAGATGCCCATCCCAGAGAGCTGCCATGATTGCATTGCCTTTGGAAAGTACTGGAGCAAATTAAACATCAATTCGCCCCCCCCCAAAGCACAATCTATTATGGTAACAGTATGATGAGGTGGCACAATTCACACTGTATCCAATATTCACTATGTTTTGCTAACTCCCTCTTTCCTGCATGGAAGATAATTTCCCCTGTGCATGTATGTATTTGTTAAATCTATATTCCATATTTCTTCTTAGTGCTAAAGGCAACTTCCATGAGAAACTCCGCTCCTTTTATCCCCACAACAGCAATGCTGCATGAGGTAGGTGGGGCAGAGAAAGAATAACGGGCCCAAAGTCACCCAGAGTTTCCATGGTTCAATGAACTTAAACTTGCGGCCCAGTACAACACCTTACCCCTTGTTCCCACACAGGAACTATTCTCCTCCCTTTATTGAAGACTTCATTTTACTCTGAATAAATCTATGCAATGTTAAACTCTTATCCAGCTTCCCAGAAATTCCTTTTGCACGCTCTCTCTCTGTATCTCGGTGAACCTGGGTTGCCTCAAAGCTCCACTGCATCAAACCTAGCTAGGTGTTTACCAGTTCATGCACAGTTGTAACATTACTTTAATCAAAATAAACTTCATCAATGAGCTAAACAGAAATTTGAGCTGGAAAGAAAATATATGAGAAAGATAAGATAGTTATGTTACTTTTGTTTTAGAAAGAGGACACGCTCCATAAAAATAGTATGGGAGATAAGCACAAAAGTGTCTTGCTCCAAATAAATGGGTGAAACAGAAGCAAGTAAACCCCACAGTTGGGCTCCTCACACAGTACAGTGGTACCTCGGTTCACGAACTTAATTCGTTCCATGATTCTGGTCGCAAGCCAAATTGGTCGCGAACCGAATCAAATTTCCCCATAAGGTTCAATG